GTAGGGTTTACGATGCAGGGCCTCGACGTACGGGATCTAGTCATTCTAGGTTTTTCCGCTTTGAGGCACCGACGGGATCTAGTCATTCTAGGTTTTTCCGCTTTGAGGCACCGTGATCCAAAAAGCTTTGAAGTTTTGCGACTCATCAGCGGTCAATGCCCTGAACCCGGATGCTTCACACTCTTTCTCCCAAAGGGCCCTAAGTACCTACAGAGTGCAAAAGTAGGATAGCCGCACGAAGAGCTATCCTTGACTATCATGCCGGTTTATATCCTCTCAACCCCGCAACTCTAAACCCTAAACTCTAAACCCTATATCCCCCACAGTGAGACTTTCAGGGCGCTCTAGAGTCGGAGTAGCAGAGGCCGTGGTCGAAGCTCTTCGTCGGGAAGGAGGCATCAGCTCTTCTGGTTTCGGGTGAAGGGCGGTTTAGGGTTTAGGGCTATGGTTGCAGCATGGTGCTTCCAGGCGTGAACTCGGCAAGCCTGCCGGAAAAGGGCGCAAGACTTGAGTCTAGTAGCAAACAGGGGCTATGATTGCAGGTCCGAGTCTGGCTAGAGTCTAGCCGCTAGACTTGAGTCCAGTAGCACAAAATCTGCTTCGGCAGCCCATGGATTTTCAACAGCCATGAATTGGAGGTTCCTTTGGTGCCTGCATCACAGTAAGGATTCCTGTCTGCGTTGCCTAGAAGTGTCGGGATCCGAGGTTTAGTGGGCATGCTGAACCCGCAGAAATCAGATGTTGTTATGGTCTGTAATAATTAAAAGCATGCCACCTGAGACTTTCAATTGTCTCTGAGTTGTGCCCGGTTCAAGCAGATGTTCGGCGCCTTGTAAAATCTGTACGGAGGGTTGGTTGTGAGCGACGATACCTGCTGCAGTCATGCATCGGCAACACAACTTCAAATGGTATTCTTCGTGCACATTGCGCCATGTACTTTAGAGATGTTGAGAGCTTGAACATGTCTTGGACATAGTGCAGCTCCCCACTGCAGCTTTTCGAAGACATCAGTAATGCTGGAGAGGGCAGGCAGGATTTCAGGATTTGGGTGGGCATGTGGGGTGTGGGATTTTGGAACAAAGCCAGTCATTGCAAGACGTAAACCCGCGAAGCCACGACGTGTGCAAAAAAGACCGCGTAGTCATTTCGGCACCGAAGCCCGAAGATGAGCTCTTGAAGCATGAGTGGCTATTCAGCTCCCACAGAGAGATGAAGCCCAAAGCAAGCAAGCCCCGACTTCAAGAACCTGAGGCCCCCAAAATTAAAATTACCCACGACAACAGCCGCAGCCGCCCCTGCATGCTTCTCGCGCCTGCGTTGCCTTGTCATCACGTGGCAACACCGACCCCGCTGAGGTGCTTTGTTGTGGGGCTTTGCGGTGAAAGGCTTAACATAGAGCCTGAGCTTTCGCGTCGCGTTTCTATCCCCCAAGAGATCGATCGATGCAGAACGTTTGCTGAGTCGGGTTTCGCTTCGGAGGGCTTTTTCGTTCGTTTCTGGGCGTTTGCACGTGCAAGGTTCAGGTGCCTTGCTGTATAGAATGTATGTGGTCTCGGATGTGGGGTTTGGATTCCTTTTGGGGTTGTGGCCTAAAGGTACCGTTTAGGGTATTGCCTTCCGGTTCAAAGTGTCAGTGTTGTTTCGACTTTTCAGTTGAAGGTAGAGGGCTCAGAAACCTTCATCCTGAAACCATAGCGAAGCTGTAAATCTAGCGCATATATATATATACATACATACATACGTGCATGCATGCACACATACATACATGCATACATACATACATACATACATACATGCATGCATACATACATACGTATATATATATATATGAGAGAGAGAGAGAAACAAAAAGAGAGTACATCTATATACCAGGTGTGTGTGTGTGTCTATATATATATATTATAGAGTGTATGTATATATATATATACATATAGAGTGTATATGTACCGTGTGTGTATAATATATATATATATACACATACACACACACATATATACATATATATATATATATGGTACATACTATGTGTACTATACCGGCGGCCCTGGAGGCAGCACGCTGGCCGCCTTCGGGGCGCAAAGGCGGGGCATGGGTTTTGGAAGCTGCCCCGAAAGCATGAGACTGTGAAGTGGCCAGGAATAGGTTTTTTGAAGGGGTAGTTAGGATGTTGGATTTTGAGATCAGAATGGTCAAGGTTGATGCCGAGACTCTGAGCCGCTGGTACAAGCCCTGAAACTTCAGCCCTGCACAGCAGCACGCCAGAAGGTTTCGATTTCGTAAGCCTTGAGTCGTTGGCCCCTCAATGCCTGAAGCGTCTGAAGGTCCAGCTGCAGCCAGCATGCAAGGTCGGTGCCGGCGTTTGGCCTCTTGGCGGCCGGAAGATAGGGTCGCAACATCGAATCCCCGGCGCGAGACAAGAAGCGAAGCGCCTAGCTTCAAGACTTGCTGGGGCCATCTCCACGTGCGTACGTAGGGTTGGGTCAAAGCAGCCATATAGGACCGACGGAGAAGCGCTTACAGGCACTGATAGCTCTGATAGCGTTCCCGGAAACAGCGCAGGAATCTTGAAGTGCAGGATGTATGCCTGGCCCTTCCGGCACGTTCTGTGCGTACTCTGAGCCGTGCCGGAATCAAACGAACCCCAAGGCCCATGAGGCCGAGTTGCGGCATGCACAGGGGATGAGTTGGCGGAGGTTTTGGCTTCAGCCACACGACGGTAATTAATGTAACCTTAGGTATGCTATCACCGCGATCACTGTGGTACTATTTCCCCCGACATGTTGTTACATTTGTGTAAGCCGCACCTGATTCTAAACTACAGGCCAAGTCAAGTGCCTCAAGAATTTGCGCAATGAAGCCTTCCCGACCACGATAGTCAAGGTTTCTGTCGCATGCCTGGCCTCGATGCACTCGAGCCTGCCGTGGTTCCTGCTCTGCCCGCGTCCAGGCGAGGGCGTCGGATTCGTGTAGGGACATTCTTGAAATTAAGGGTACCTCATTCAGGGGTTCGTATCGTTATGATCCTACCACTTGGGGGGTTGTCAAAATCTCATTATCGGACGGTGCTCGGCAGCACGTTGCACAACGATGGCGACGGCAATTGTTGCTCTGGTCTTCGCTGTGCAAAGTCAAGCAACTGTTGCTGGTGCTGCTGCCGATGGAACATGTGTTGTTTAATCTACTAAAGCGGCATCGCCAGCGCCACTACGAGCAGCACTGCCACAGCTACAAACTCTTGCTCCCGCCGCTGGTTTTCCTACTCTACTTCTACGGCTGCATGCCGCTGTCACTCCTGCTGCTGTTGTTGTTTTTCGGCATAGAGCCTTTCTTGCCCGAAGTTGATCTGCACGTTTCCATGCCACCGCATGGCTGAAGTGCGAAGCACCCTATAACCCGGAAAGCCTCACACGATCCGCCAGACTGCGAGACTCGAAACCCCAACCATAAACCCTGAAGCAACACTGAACCCTCAAGACCCTAAGACCTTGCAGGCAAAGAGCCCACCCCCAAAAAAAGAACAAAGCAGATACATGCCGAAACCCTCAGTAGATGCTCCTTATACAAGCTAGTAGAGCACCCTCGTGTGCGTAAGATGCTTATGGAATCGACCGTATTCATTCATGAAGCCTTTCGAAAGATCGTGCTTCCCCATGACCCATGCAAAAATGCAACACTTACATTTGACATCGTATAGCCCAGCATCCTGTAGCCCTTAAGCAATAAACCGCCTAAGCGCGAAAGTCTCAAACACCCCTGAGCCTAAACCCTAAACCCTAACCCCTAAAAACCATTGTCTCTATTCAACCTCGCTAGTGGGCATAGATCCTCAGCCATGCGAGAGGGAAAAGAAGCCCTAAAACCCTAATTTTGAGGCCATCGCCTCCGATGTCGAGCCAGAGTCCTCTCTGCTGGATGCTGCGGAGGAGGCAGTGGAAGAGGCAGCCGTGGCCTGGTCTTTAGGGCTTCTTTTAGGGCTAGAGAAGGGCTTATACTAATGAAAGTAATGGTTGCTGTGCTTAAGGGTTCTTCGAAGATTCCGAGTTTGAGGCTTGATGGATTTGGGATGTGGTTCTAGATGAGGGGGCTGAGGGCTCTGGGCATGTGCGAGTTTGGGGCTTCCAGGGGTGTAGGCTTAGGGTCTTTGATGGGGTTTGAAAAGTAGGTCTTTTGCAACGGAAACGAAGGGTTTGTTGCGGGGTGTTGGGGAGTTTGGAGAGATTGGGATTGTGCCGGCATAGATGATAGGTAGAAAGCTGTCAGGGGATCTGAGGTTCTTACCTGAATTATGCTCGAGCATTGGGCCGAAAACCCGAAAACGTGAATGGTTGTGGCAGCGAATTGTCTAAGGTCGTTGAAGGTTCAGGGCTTGGTGACCCCGAAGCAGTATGTGAAGCCTCACATGCCCCAGACACCAGGACTCCTAGAATCGCATTGAGAGGTCCTCCAGTTCGCTCCGGAAGATACACGACTGATGGCCAATATCATCCGGGACTGAGCGCGGGAAGCACTTTGCAGGTCTAGAGCTTTTGATAAACCCACGCCTCAGCCCTAGGATCGGGCTTTGAACTGGAGTGGAAATACAGGGTGTAGGTTCGACCCCCCAAACCCAAATGAACTTGTCGAACCAAACTAGGCAGAGAAACATCTAAGCCAGGAAATCCCGTAAGAGCCGGTAAACGAAGGCTGTTGTAATCCATAAAGTGTCGTGACTGTCGCCTGCTGAGGGGATTCGGGACATGGATTCTTCAGCATGTAGAAATTTATCTGAGTAGGTAGTACGTGTAACCTACCATATGAAGACAACTGTCCTCTGAGGAAGGACAGCAGCTACGATTCAATTTCCGTGGATTCGAACCCCAGCTTAGGCCCTAGGGCACTCAAGTAGGGTGCGATGCCGGATAATCTAGTGATAGGATAGGATAGAACAGCACGTTACCGTCCTTGTGTTTCCTTTCTCCAGACCCTTGGACTTGCGACTCTTGGATTTCCCGACTGCGAAGGATTACATCCGTGCTGGCGAATATTCCTGGGCATCTACCCTGGAGCAGCGCTGGCTAGCGCGTGATGGCGGAGCACATTCCGTAAGGTGGGGGAACGATGTGCTGTAGTATAGGGCTGCAAAAATTCTCGAAAACTGGAGAGGGACACCTGCGTGGGTCAAATTGCGATGGCAATCCTGAGATTTCAAGCTTGCGGATGTTGCTGAGAAAGCTTGCGGTTGCAGCTCCCGCAAATGATTGAGCCTTTCGCACGAAAAATAATGATTCCTAGATTCTGCATCGTTTGTTGGCGTAACATCATCGACTCTTTCCTAAACTTGCGACAGGAACCCCCCCCCCCCCCCAAATAGCCGGCTTTTGCCCCTCGGTTTGGTCGAAGCTTAAGCCGCTTAAATCCAAGTTCCAAAGCACTGCAAGACGAACGCCAGCTTCGTGCAGGAGCCGTGAGGGTCGAAAACCTAACCCTTATAAGAACCCCTGAAGGCCCGAAACACGGTTTCGGGAGCCTTCTCTTTGCTCTCAGCTTGCGGGAGCCTGGGCGCGAGCGGGACGCCTCCAGGAGGTTGCGATGGAGGGGGTTAGTATATTGAAGTATAGTTTTCATTGTGTATAGTCTATTATGCATATCATCATTGTTTAGCAAAGTGAGTCTATCGCGGCATCTTTTATCATTTCAGTGCACTAACAGTTTATATTGTCGTATACTAGGAGTTCGGGCTCGTCGTTTGACGGTTGTGGAGCGGGCTTCGACTTGCGGCTTGGGGCACGGAGCTTCCAGCCGCTGCTGCAACCGAGGGGGAAGCCGGTGGCGAAGTATGCCTCACTGCGCAACAGAGCCTTCTAAGCCTGCCGACATAAGGCATGTTACTGTACCAGATTCTTTTTGTTGTTTGTTGTGGGACCCCTTGTTCTGCATGGTCCATAGCGCACAGGTAAGCAACGAACCCAGGTAGGGGGGGGACCACTGTGTTGCATCTTGATGTCGCTGCTGGTCGATGAATCTTCCTTTGTTAGCCGAAGTCCGTGCAGCAGCAGGCCGAAATGTGGCTGTCCTGCACAGACATCGAGCAACTCGCCGCAAGCTTGACAGGTGTCGCGCAGAGAAGCTCCTTTTAGGTGGCCTTAGTTCTGGGATTTGAGGCTTCAGGGTGGAGGCCTTCAAATTCTGAATTCATTGGAATCGGACGTTCTAAAGGATTGTCTTCGAAACGTTCCGGCCCATGCATTACTTTGTAACAGTGCCGTCCCTTCCGCAGACTCCGTGTCTAACACCCAAGGCCTCAAGATCGTCGCATCCTAACCTCAGGATCCGAGTATGCCGTAACGTCTAGCATGGAGTTTAAGCCACCGGACAGTCCAATGCTCCTCATTTCAGGATCCGGCTAGTTTAGGGTTTAGGGTATCCTGTCTTCGGAAGTCCTGTCGAAGTTGAGGTTCATAGTTTGCTGAATAGACGAGTTGTGGAGTCTCTGGGATTTGTTATGCCGGCTCCGCCCTTATGTGGACTCGAAACAGGATTCAAACACGCAAGGTCCGCGAACCCTGTACTCCCTAGGCACTGGATATTGATGCAGCCTGTGTTTCTGGGATTGGTTGAGGCTTGCCGGCTTCGTTTGCGACGGTTCTGAGGCTGCTGACATGAATCCTTGCCTCGCATAGCTGAGAGTGAGAGAAGAAAGTCTACCTCCCCTCCAGCTCATCAACAAATCAAAGTATTCAAATCCTGAAATAGCCCTGTCATTACCCAAAACAGTTCAGTCTCTAATTAAGAGACCTTTTGCGTAAGGGGGTCTTAGCTTCGGGATCGAGTCGGGGGCACCAGGAAAGTGGATCGTTGGGCCTTGGTCGCCTTTGTCCGTGCCTGCGTCGAGAGCGGCGAGCTCCAGATCGCCACTGGGCCGTATATATATATATATGTACATATCAAAACCCGTGACAACCCTGTGTACAACAACCATGCCACAATCCAAAAACCCAAGACTGGAGACCCTTTGTTGGTTTGGCCTTTGAGTGCAGAACCATTGCGTCACCCTGAGCCATCACCATGAGTCCGGCCTGCCTCGGCGTGTAATTTTTTTCAGCAGGACCGTCGCCCCAGAAATCCAAAACCCCCCCACCCGACTTGCTGTCGGCCTGTGTTAACTTCGCTTTCCAGAAACAAACCCTCCATGCCAGACCTCGCGGACATGTGTCTCGCCTATAGGGAGTTTGAGTGTATGCGCCGCAATCCAAAACCCCCATCCCTTAAACCCCTAAAACCCTGAACCAAAAAGTCCGTATTGGGCCAGTTGAAGCTAACCTGAAAAGGGGGCCCATTCATGGACTTCCATTTAACCACACAAAGGGCACATTTTCCGGCTTTTAATGTTAGTTCGCTCAGGCAGACAACTGGACCAGGAAGCTTCTGAAGATCGCGGACAGCGGCAAGCTGCACCTCGCCAGGCAGTTCAGTTCAGACGGTTTAGGCCTCAAGTTTTAGGATTCAGGGTTTGGGGTTTGATTACTCCTTTGGTCACATCACTGTCCGAATTCATCAACTGAGCCTTGCTTCAGTTGAATTCCCAAGCCGCTTGGCATGAGAGGCTTGCTCGGCCCGTCCGTAGGTTGTGGTTTGCGGGCCTTGAGAAACTGTGATTACCAATGCAGCATGCTCTACGAAAAGTCTTCAGACTTGCAAAAGTTACGTTCAGTTCTGGAGACCTAGACAATTGCAAGACTTGAAACTTCCCGACGAATTTTGGAGCATCGCACTTGTCAAAGCTTGCAAATGCCGGATAGACAGGCCTTTGAGGGGCGTCGACTTGTCCCAAGCTCATTAGCTCGAGAGATCTCTGCGCATACAGAGTAGCAGCACTTCAAGGGTGAAGGTTTGAGGGCTTCAGGGCTCTATCCTATGGGGCAGCTTGTGCGAAGTCGAGAAGAAAGTGTGAGTCCTAGAGCCCCGTCGAACCTGAAAGCTCTTTGGGCAACTTGAGCCATAAAGAGACCCCTGATTGAATAACAAACCTCTCCTTTAATCGTGATTGCAAGAAGGATTCCAATTCTAAATTCTTCGCGTCGTCCGCCTCGGCCCGGTCTGGCACGGCCGCAGAGGCAGAAAATGGGACGTAGAAGGAACGGCAGGCCGGGAAGGGGGGGGGGGCGAGGAGAGGGGGTTCGGGGTAATTGGGGCAGGGAGCTTGCCGGCTGGTCAATGAGTTCACAGAGCAAAAAGGGCTGGGCGGCAGGCGGATTTTGCAAATTGAGGAACTTTGCAATTTGGGGGCCCGTCTGTGAGAAAAAAGACAGGAGGGGAGGAGCCGGGGGCGCTGAGAAGAGAAGGCGAAAGGGAACCTCTGACCGCTTCGGCCTGGACGAAGTGGATTCATCAGGCATCTGCAGTCAAGCCCTGTTCAGATTGTTTCACAATGGCGATAAGCCGGAAGGCCTCGAAAGCAAGTCGAAGATGTATCCTTCCCCCCCTGCAGAGCCGGTGCCGTGGATTCGGATTCTGCGAGCCGCCAGAAGGAGGCGGAGGTGGGGGCTCGGAGGGCAGGAGAGAGGGAGAGACAGAGAGCGGGAGAGAGAGAGAGAGAGGGACAGGGAGGCAGGGCTTTAGGCTTTTAGGCCTTTCAGCTTTTTTGGTTTGCGCTCGGGTAGGGACTGGTGCTGTTGTTTTGCTTGTGGGATTGGGATTAAGAGGTTTGGCCGGATCAAATTTCATTGCCCTGGGTTCTTAATATTTAGGATTCAGGATTACGGGCTTGGTGGTGGCCTGAGGCAGTGGCCCGACTCCGTTGCTTCAGGTTTGCAGCTCCCTGTTGGAAGTTGTTGAGGGTAAGTACCCTAGGCCCTAAGGTTTAAGTGTTGGATCATGCGAGCCGGAAAAGGGCTGTTCAAAAACAAAGTTTAAGTTTAGATGGGCTCTCCCCTGCAGGTTCAAGGTCTTTGGATCTATAATGGGTACTCTTGTTCTTTTTATTTGTTGTGTGTGTGTGTGAGTGAGTGCATGTTTTGTTCATTCGTGGTGTGTAGCCTTTTCTTCCCCGACGGTTGAGTTTCTGCTGCTTGCAAGAAATAGCTTATACGTGCATCAGGTACTCAACACTCGCAAGAGCGTATACGGTATGAAAGGGATGCATGTATGTGTTTGTGTATGTATACTTATATGTATATGCTTATAGTGTATGTGTGTGTTTGTGCATGTGGATGTGCAACTGTGTGCACATATGCACAGGCATGTCGATGCGCATGTTGTATGTGTATATGTAAGTGTGTGCCTATGTGTGTCTGTGTGTGGTACATTGTGCATGGTATCTCGTATACGTATATGTATATTAATTCAATGCTGTATATTGTATAGGATGAACTATATATTGTATATGTATATGTAAATGTATGCCCGTATTAGGCCTAGATTGTGTATTCTATATTGTTTAATAAACAATAATGTTGTATATGTATAAATACAATGTATCGTGTATAATGTTTATTGCATACTGTATATGGCATGAGTATGTACATATGTATGTGGGCATGTATATATACGTGTACATGTTCATGTTTATGTATATGTTATATGTATATGTAGATATGTGTATGTATGTATATATCTATGTACATATGTATATGATATTAATATATATATATATATGCGGCTCGTACGTAACCTGTTTATTTACCACCCGGCCTTCCTACAGCCCACCACCTCCGCTTTGACGAGCACCTTGCCAACAAAGAGCTAGGCCAATAGAGAGCTTTGAGCCATCTCTTCGCCCCACACCCCTCAAACTCTTAGGTCACTCAAGTCTTGAGCCTTAAGCCCCCGAGCAAAACAAAATTCTACGCCATGCACCCTATGTCAAAGACACCGAAAGACACCAGTGCGAAGTTTCCCAAACTTGAGCTTAGTTCTAAGTGCTTACACTGAAAACAGGCCCAATCCTGAAGCTGTAAAACTAGAGCTCTGACATCCTGGTTGCAAACTCTCCAGTTTACCGCCTAGAGCAGCCGGTTGAGCTCCGAGCCGCCTAAAGAGCTACATCCGGCCCTTTATAACCCTAAACTCTAACACCCTAAACTCTAAAACTTAAAATACTAAAACCCTAAACCCGAAAACATTAAACTTTTTGAAGGACAACCTCGTGGCCTTGGTCGCCGCCCGGGCGACCTTAGCCAAAGGGGCCGAGATTGAAGGCGATGGGGTGTAGGGGTTAGTGCATTGCAGTCCTTGCTCAAAAAGAGGGTTTAGGGGTTAAGGGTTTAGGGGTCAAGGGTTCAGGGTTCAGGGGTTTAGGGGTTTAGGGTTAGCGGTTATGGGGTTAGGGTGCAGGCTTCCGGCTTTAAGTGTAGGGTTCAGAGATATTCGGGGGTTACTAGGGTTTGGGTTTGTGCGTCCAGGGAAATACTTTTTCAAGGGTCATGTAAGGGCTTTGGCGTAAGACCCTTGCACACCCTACCGTCGAAGACCCCATGTTAAGGTTCCCTAGACCCAAAACCCTAAAACCCTAAAACCCTAAAGCCCTACAGCCCTAAACCCTAAACCCTATTTAACCCCGAAAACCCTAAATGAGCATGTGTTGACAAGGTTTGGGGGTTCAGGATCTGGGATTTGCTTCGGGTCGTAGTGCAAGGCGGGCTGTTGCTCGGCCGTCAGGGCACCTAAGGTTCGGAGCTAAGAAAGTTGTAGCTTTCTGTGGTTGACAGGTTTTGAATGGATTGCATCGTTGTTGTCACCACTAGGAAGCTTGAAACTACCAGCTTCTGTTCTTAGGCGGTTCCATTTACTCACGGCTGTGGGTATCTTGAGAGCTCTGGGTCTGCTACTGCGAGCAGCATCGTCTTCATCGCCGTGCTAGTATTGGGACTCCTCCGATGTCTTCTCGGCTTAGTTTTGCTTATGACCCATTCCTGCCAGTGTCCTTTTTCCGTGTTGACATCACTGCTGCCACTGCTGATGCAAGTGCTGTTTAAGTTTATTGTTGCTTGGAAAAACTGCAGTAATCTGTTTACATCTTCTTGCTGCTGCCGAGTAGTCTGCTTGTGAAGCTCTTTATTCAGTGCGAGATCTGCAACTCCAGCTGTTCGGCACTCGTGTACGGGGCTGACGTGAGTAGGGCCAGTGCTTTTTTCACGAGCGGCCTGCGTTCGGGTTTTCCCGCAGGGCGACAATCTTCCCCATGACTTTTATGTTTTTCTTCTGGACCTTGAGGCCCTCGCCCTAAAGAACCAAAGCGAAAGCCGAAGCGTTCCAAGCGCGTGCAAGCCCAGGGCCAAGTCTGTCTTCATTTTGTCTAGTCTCCGGAGGCGTTCGCCGATGGCTCCATCGCATGCAGAAAGTCGCTGTGGCAGCATTCGGGGGTTTTACAAGTGTCTATAAGGGGTCTATCAGGGTTTAGCATAAAGCATACAGCCTCTTCCGTAAGGGTTTAGCACAATGGTTCTGTCAAGCACCGAACTTGTCTCTTCGCATAGAGACAATTCGGGACGCGGGCTGCGATTTGCATCACTTGCTGTCTCTTTTGTGCCTTTGGCTTATATATGCCGAGTTCCAATCTTGCAGAATCTTGCATAGCTTATGTGGCTTAGGTTTTTGGCTGCTTGACTTGATGTCTTTTTTGTGCAGAGGCTGCATTCTTCAAGTAAGCCCATCATCTTCATCACCATTGAACCCATAGACCACAACTACAGTTTCACAAGCAGCTAGGAGCAGGAATCGCAATGGTGAGCACGCTAGCCGCTAGTATAGAAGCCTGAACTGTTGCTTAGGGGTTCCTTGTTGTAGTTATACTAGACCCCAGCACCCCAGATCAATCGCTGCGGCCCCTATTTAATGCTTGCGATCAAGGTTCGGTTGTGTGTTCTGGGTAGAGAGCAGCATCCGAGACGCTTTAGGGCTTAGGGTTTAGGGATTCGGGGGTAGCACTAAGGTAGGCATCCAGCCGAGCTGGCCGGTCTATGGCCGTCTTCTCCAGGGCTATGCAGAGGTGGACACTTAATGGGACTATAACATGGCCTTGATAAGCAGGCCGGAGTCGGAAAACCAGAATGAGGCAAAAACGCGTTGTGATCTCTTGGTTTAGGGTCCTGAGGGAGTTCAGGGGATGGGCTGTTATGGCTCAGCACTGCCGGGTCGAGGCTTAACTGCTGATTTCAAGGCGTTTAGGGCTTCCTTTCTCATTGTCAGGAGGTCCGAAACGACCTAGCCGACCGTCCAACATGATGCAGAAGCAAGTTCCCTCTTTTCGATGGGTGTTTTTTGTGTTGTGAAGCGGACTGTTTCACCAAACGTCATCATAAGCACGAATATCCACTCAGCACTAGTATAATGCATCCCAAAAGCCAGCAATAAGGCCCAACCGTTCACATCCCTTCAGCAATAGTACAATGTATTCCATGATTAAGCCCAACAGTTCATATCCCTTCAAGAATAGTCTGATGCATCCCGAAAGCCTGCTTTAGTTACTAAAGGCCCAACAGCTCACACATACCCTAAACCCTGAACCCTAAACACTAGACCCTTGTGCAACAAAACAAGTCATGATCAGGCCGACAAGTCAAAGGATTTCGAGGAGCTGCTGAAAGAGATGCAAGCGGTCCGAGTCAGGCAGAGAAGATCCCTTGCTCATTTTCACGTTTCGGCTAGGGGTTGCGGTTTAGTGTTTAGGGTTTAGGGTTCGGGCTTAAGGTTTAGGGGTTCGAGTTGAGTTCAGGGTTTAGGGTTTAGGTTCCTCGGCCTTAGGCTTAAGACAGTACTGTGGGAAGTCACTTGAGTGCGTAGAACTGCTCAGCCGCTCATAATGGTGTCGTCCCATAGCAACTGTCGCAATGAAGCATTTGGAGTGCATGTAACTACAGCCCGCAATGGCCGGCATGCCTCCCATTTCCTCCAGCGCGTGCTCAAAAAGGAGCTTATAAGCTGGAGGGGCTTGGCGCCTTTTTAAGTACTCTGCCTTCGCATCGTTGTAGTCACCGCAGACCCCAGAAACACGACAACTCGCTATCGCATGGCATGAGCCTAAATCCCTGCGCCACCCAGATTACTTAATGCCACGGAACTGCATGGTGTACCCGCTGCCAGAGCCACGGACAACACTGAAACTCTATAAGCCTATAATCTTCAATGAGTACCTATACACTCTGATCCTCAACTTTTTAAGCCCTGAAGAGATCCTCAGAAAGCCTTCAGAAGCCCTAAAGAGATCCTAAGAAAGCCCTCAGAAGCCCGATAAAGAGATCCTCAGACACCCTCAGAAAGTATAGACGTCCGCCTTCTCTGCAAAGCGGAGGCCAAGAGCCGAAGCGTTCAACCACCTGATCAAAGCGAAGGCCGCCGGGCAGCAGGC